GGACCTTGAGGACCCTTCAAGAGTAGATTTGCAATAAAAGGAGCATAGAAAGAAATGAGAATCACGACGAAATCTCAGGAAACAGTGAATGTGTTTTATCACAAATACTTTAAATGTGACTTACAGCAGGACCACGAGCACCAGCAGGACCAGCAGAGCCAGGAGGGCCAGGTGGACCCTGTAACACAATAAGAACAAGATAGAATGGATTCGTTGCAATCGACTAGACCACCTTTTTATTTCCAGATGAGTATCTTCAAAGCCAGAGACAAGGAAAAGCTACACACACTATATATATAATCAATAAGAATTTTGATCAGTTGCTTTTCCTACCAAAGTTATTCTTACTCAGCTGCTCATATGCACCAATGCATACCTCATGCAGAAGACTCCTTTTTCAATTTGTGAGGTGCTCAGTGCACCCAGTGCTGGTGTCAGCGCTTCAGAAAAATAACTTTAATACTTCCAAAATTACTCCCTTAGTTTAATAAATAAGGCTGCTTACACTGAATGAACATTATATGGGATGAAAACTAATGGCCTGGTGGGACGATGTGCTTTTTGGCATCTTAGGCATGTGAATTTTGAGTTTACTGTATACATAGTTATCTGCAATATAAACTGTGATGTCTTTCCCCTTGATATTTTTATAAAGTGGCCCTCAATGCCAAGAAACGAGGGCAGAAACAAATACAGATAGTTATAGTATCAGTCTTCCAAACTTCCACTTCTATTACTGCATGAAATTGACTTTTCAATTTTCAACAGGAAAGGTACATAAATAAGCAGTTGGCTATTTGTTTTGGTTTTACCTGAAATCCTCTTTCACCAGCTTTTCCAGGGGCACCATTGTTTCCTGCAGGCCCAGGGTGACCAGGAGGTCCTGGAGCTCCAGGAGGGCCACTTTCACCACGGTCACCCTGCAGATGGTAACAGCAAATAGAGAAAGAAATTTAACGTTTTATAGAATTTCAATGTAAAGACTGCATTCTTTGGAGTGTAACAGGATTGAGGAACAAGTTATGCAGCACAGAACTAACTACCTATATTGCCAATATTACACAGAGATGACAATCTAAAGACAGTGCTCAGTCCTTACTTTGCCTCCTGGGGATCCATCGCGTCCAGGCAAGCCATCCGATCCAGGGTTACCCTGGAAAAAAACAGTGTGGTACAGTTTGTTTATAAACTAGATTATGAACAATCACCATGTTTTCTAGCAAATTGAAATAGTGCTCATCAGAGCAAGGGTTTTCAAAAAACAAAGTGTTTCTGGAGGTGGAGGGGCCCATAAACTATTTATTGGACATTTTATTTTGTAAGTGCATGGGCAGTGAAGTCTCTTGTTCAGTTCCAAGTGAGACAGAGACATGGTCCGCTGGTGGTAAAACGTAAAACAAAGATTGTACTTTCTCCTAACATGAGAAGGCAATCTGCACAGGACATCATCCCTCAGGTGCTTGAGGGAAGCTTTGTGAACCTTAAAACATTGTTACTTCCTGAGTCTTCTGTATATATCTCACAAGCTATCAGGAAGGCCTAACACATCCACTTACGTCTCTGCCAGGCTCTCCAGGTAAGCCTCTTTGTCCCATAGGACCTTGTGGACCAGGAGCACCACGTTCTCCTGGAACACCATTGACGCCTGGTTTACCGTCTTCACCCTAAAGAAAGAGGGAAGAAATTTAATTGTAGATAATGTGCTTATGAAATGCCATCATGTTATACATCTTTAGCGAAATATACAGTGATTATGAAGGCGACCTGATAAAATGAAGTGCCAGTGTGACTTTAGTGATTTTAAGTACTTGGAACAAGAGAAAAGAGGTGCCTCAGGGTATGGTCAGCTATTTTGGCTGCCAGGCACACACTGCTGACTCACGTTCAATTTGCTGTCTCGTTATTTACTTCTAATGAATCTGATCCAAAAGTCTTGGTATTAGAGACTAAAGACAACCTCACATCCCATAGCTGTCCAGTGGATGTTTTGAAGCCTGATCTTATGGTTGTAAATGCAAATAACTGGATTAAAAAGCATTAAGAAGTATAACATTAATTACTGTGACTAGACTATTTTTAACTGCTGGGTTACAGTCATTGCACTAATTTGGAGGCTATCATTTCAGTGAATGCACACTCACCTTGCTACCGGCCATGCCAGCTGCTCCAGGGAGGCCACGTGGACCTGGCAAACCCGTGTTACCGCGGCTCCCAATGATACCTTGAGGACCAGGGTCGCCAGGTGCCCCCTGTTTGAGAGAAAGGTCAGTCAACACTGAGCATATTTGACATTCAGGAAGATGGCTTCTGGTTCTTGATCATAGACTCATTGAAGTTGGACAGGACCTCCAAGCTCATCTTGTCCAGCCATCACCCTACTACCAATGTCACCCACTAACCCATGTCCCTAAGCACCACATCCAAACTTTCCTTGAACACCCCCAGGGACAGTGATGCCAGCACCTCCCTGGGGAACCCATTCCAATGCCTGACTGCACTTTGAGAAGATTTTTCTCCTAATTTCCAACCTAAACCTCCCCTGGTGCAATTTGAGACCATTCCCTCTAGTCCTATCACCTGTTAGTTACCTGTGAGACGAGGCTGACCCCCAGCTCCCCACACCTTCCTTTCCAGTAGCTGTAGAGAGCAACGAGGTCTCCCCTGAGCTTCCTCTTCACCAGACTAAACAACCCAGTTTGCTCAGCCGCTCCCCATAGGGCTTATGCTCCAGGCCCTTCACCAGCTTCATAGCCCTTCTCTAGACACATTCCAGAGCTTCAATGTCCTTCATGTACTGAGGTGCCCAAAACTGAACACAGTACTTGAGGTGTGGCTGAGTACAAGGGGACAAAACAGAATCCCTACCTATCGGTATAACAGGCCCCAGCTTGCCATGTACTCACCCTTTCTCCACGAGGGCCTGGTGTCCCTTTTTCACCTGGTGGGCCAGGCTCACCTCTTACTCCAGGAGATCCTGAACTGCCAGGAGGACCAGCATTACCAGGGGGTCCAGGAGGCCCATCCTTGCCGGGAGGCCCTGCATTACCAGGGGGACCTGGACTACCCTAAACATTTTAAAAATAAGAGCATGAGCTGTATTATCATCTGAAACAGTGCTACACACTTACTGCATTGATCCTTCAGTAGCTTAGATAATCAATGGGAAGAATTGCATTGACTTTAATGTTAACGTTAAATAAAATCCTATTTTCTTATTATTTAGCAATATCTGTATCTGTCGTTAACAATAAAACAACAAAAAAATTCTTTTATTCAAATATAATAGATGTTTTCTCAGGTCTTAGTTACAGTACAATGAATCATTTGTAATTTTTATTAAAAAGGGGTAAATACATCTTATTCTTTGTATTTGCTTAATCTTTAAAGCAAATAAAAACAGATTGATTTTTTACAGAGGGAGAGTAAACTCTCTTTAGTAGAAGTTTTTCTCTAGGCACAAACATCATATTCAAGATAACTTTGATTGTGCACTATTCATATCATGGTACATCCAGCTTAATCAAGATTAATAAGTCTAAAGATATCTGCAAGGTAAGAATACAACTTACATTGTTACCAGGGGGACCAGGTAGACCACGAGCACCAGGGAAACCAGCAGCACCCTGTAAGATACCAATAATTTTGTCAGTTTCTGAAGATTAGAAAAATGACAATTTATCCAATTTATTTCTGTATAAAAGTTGACTTTATTTATTTTTATTTATTTATTTTAATAAAATCTGAATTAAACAGCCTGCAACTGTCAACTTTGTGAGGAATTTCCTCCCCCCATACCTCATGCAATGGTCCCACATGTCCCTCAAAGTTGAACCAATTGTCTCACAGAAACTTGTCATAGATATCATATAAATCTAATAACTGCTGAGATAAATGACTTATAGCTTTGTGTTGTCCCAGAAGCCATTTTGGCACCTTACTTATATTAAAATCTATGAAAACCTGCTCACAAATGCCTCAGCCTTTATTACTCCTTGTGGAAGACTTCAGATATTCTTGAAATACAAATATTAAAGTCACAGAAGGCCTAGAGGTTCATTTACATCATTTTTGTTTTAACACACAGAACCATTCATCAGTTACTAAGTGAAAGAAACACTTACAGGGCCTCCAGGTGATCCACGTTCTCCTTTTGTTCCTTGGGGACCAGGTGGACCCTACATGGAAAGAAATAGACAAAGCAGATAATTTGAAAAACAAATAAGAAACTATTGGCTGCACCATGAAGTTACAGGCAGTTTGAATGCTCACATGTAGGCCAAGCCACCAGGAGGCTGAAGGAGAACTGAAGAAGTGTCTCCATTTGGAGCAATGAGGAACAGCACATACTTACTGGTGCACCAGGGCCGCCTTGTGGACCTGCAGCTCCAGGGGGTCCAGCCTCTCCTCTTAGACCAGGTGGGCCTCTCTCTCCTTTCCCACCAGGTTCACCATTTTGGCCCTGTAGAAAAATTGTATTGTTATGTTATGACATGACAACAAAACAGTGCAGACAATACCACTGTAATGAGAGACCGTATATAGACGTTCTCCTGAAGGGATGACCTTTAATGGTCTACTGGCATGGGAAGGGAAGGGTAAAGAAAATGTTGCTTTGTGTGTGACTGAGTACAAAAAGAGTAGCAATTTTATTGGTATTGTAGCAATATATATTGGTACAAAATTAAATGTAAAGTAGTAAGTATTAATGTTAAAGTGGTTACATCCAAGTCTTTCTGAGATGAAAATTAATTTAGACAGATGAAAAATGGATAATCACATTCAATTGCTTGTAAGTATTTATACTTACTGGAGCACCAGGGAAGCCAGCAGGTCCAGGGAGACCTTGTTCTCCTCGTTCACCCTGTAGATAGCAACAAGTCAGCAATGGAAGATGTCAGAAAAATAGGCTTCATATCAGAAGTTAGAGAACACTCATGAATACAGCTGAAGTTTCTTTGCCTTAACGGGGGGAGGATTGGGGGAGGGTTAGGGTAGGGAAACAGATGGACACACGACCAGACAAACGGCAAGCAAAAAGGCAAACAACCAAAGCCAGCATTTGCTCCTGAGCTCTAAAAAACAACTGTTCAGTAATTATATGATAACTATCTAAAGTGTGACAAACTGATCTCAGTTACACTTGTATAAAGCCTGACCACAGTCCATGTTGTTTCTTAGATGCAACTGAGAGCCACAAGTGGTTTTATTAAGGTAAGATATAGGAATATATATATTTTACTTAACCATAAGACAAGATGGAAACAATTCAAGGAAATCCCTCTGCTTTATCTAGCAACTACTGGTTCAAACTCTTGCTCTGATCTGTCATTGTAGCCTTCCAATCTCTATAAAGCTTTAGAAGCTTTGACTTTCTGAAGCCCTTAGCATGTGTAAATCCCAAGAGTCAATGAGAGCTGAATGTACTTAGTCTATTATGGACTCAACTGAATGTGTTCTTGATAGGGACAGTTTACAACGTGGATGTTTCTACCAGGCTAGATGAGTAAAGGTACGCTGGAAGAAAATGACTGTCACTTACAGGACCGCCGCGGGAACCCATTGGACCTGGGGCACCTGCTGGACCAGTCTCTCCCTGTAAGGAACAAGAATGATTACCAGGATTTCCTCCTCTTCCCAGGAGACAGTGATGCTACTGTTCATGGCATCACACATCTTTATGGAGGATGCTTTACCTTATCTCCAGGTGGGCCGGCAGGACCAGGAGGACCGATGGGACCGACATTACCCTAAACAATTAGAATATATTTTGTATCAAAATATGACACTGTTATCTCATTTATTTTGATCAATATCATTATCAACGTGTTTGCACTGAAACACAAATGTTATCTAAATGAAAGCGCTCTACAATGGCAGCATGTTGTTGCACACTACATTTTGGAATGATATACTGACATCACACTATTTTGTGATGTGAGATATCTCCAATTCATTTCTCATTATTTTTCCCCCCATATAAATCTAATCCAAAGCCACTTGTAGTCAGTGAGTCTCTTTCAATAGACAACAAAAGTCACCTATTGCTTTAACTTCTTATATAGATAATTGGTCCATATTTCTCTGGGATAAATTCAACATCTCTTGACCAATGCCCTCATTTTTTTTCCTTGAGAATTCAATGTGTACCATATGGATTGAAATCTACTTCTCTACTTCTCCCACTCGTACAAGCTGCGTTAATATTTTTTCTGTCCCTTGTTATTTTGATGTATATATCACTTACATGTACTTGTTGGATTTATGTATACACTTCAAGTGCATATGCTATATAGATGTATAAATATGTCATACATAGTAAACTGTAGTCTGTATGAGAGCCCTTGCTATCACAGTGTCTTTTTGTGCTTCATTATAACCAACATTCTTCTCAGTTGGCTAGCTTAAGGAAGCTAATAACATTTTTCCTACCTCTGCATTGGGACTTTCCCTCCAAAGCATTGTTCCAATTAACTATAATCTTATACTTGCAAAAACTGTTCTATCTACTTGGGCAGCCATGATCACAAAGAATAGTAGTATGAACTTAGTTCATAAAACCAGATTTACACAGCCAGAATGAAATACAATGGGGTTACTATTTTAACTCTCCTAGATAGTATTTATTCACTGTAAGTGTACTCGCCTTCTAAGTGTAGACTGTATGAAGCTAATTCCTAAACTGTTAGAAGTTGAAAGACCACTCACCCTCTCTCCTCTTGCACCAGGAAGGCCATCAGCACCTTTGCCACCGGGTTCACCCTAGCAAGCAGAAGATGTAAAAAGGATAAGCAAAAAACAAGCAAGAGACAAAACAACAACAAAACAAACAAACACACCACACATTACTGAGGAGAGCATCTCCTACTGAGGGTATCCAGATAACCATATTTCCTTATTGTGGTCATACAAATCTGAAACAAGATGACATTCTGCACAGTATTGAGCATCAGATACAGAATACGTGGATGCAAAAACTCCAGACTGATTCAAAATGGAGCCCATACTATAGGCAGACAACTTGGCATAAACTATTCTAGTTGTTTATTAGCTTCATTGGACCTGTTCTGTTTTATCCTTCCCTCACCAGATGAAGCAGAACAAAATAGCTAGCATATTATACCAGCTGTAAAATGCTGTATTTTAAAAATGCATATGGTCCATATAACGCTGCTAAATCAACAATACTGCACAATCAGTACCTCTGAAATCAGGCCAAAAGTGAACACGTGAAAAAACTCCATGCTTTATGGGAGACTGACATTGGAAGGGTACGTGAGATGGGTATGTTACCTTATCCCCTTTTGGTCCAGGACTTCCAGAAGGTCCTCTCTCGCCGGGCATTCCCTGTAAGCCAGGCAGCCCTGTGCCTCCAGGGGCTCCAGGGGGGCCAGCAGGACCCTAAAGATTGACAAAACTAATTAGAAAAAGTGGGGAAAAAAACAATAAAGGGGGAGGGTTCTGGGGCATGACTGAATGCTGTACATGGCAACAGGAAGGCAGGCAAGTCTGTGGGTACCTTGGCACCTTCTGAGCCAGCTGGACCTGGCCCACCTCTCGCTCCAGGAGGTCCTGGAGGACCCTGTGCACCACGTTCACCTGGGATACCATTTTCACCCTGTGACAAAGAAACATGTTATTTGTTGTCAGGTTCATAATTGTCAATTTATTAATGTAACTGTAGAAATGATGCTATATGATTTACCTTAGGGCCTGGGAATCCGGGTCCTCCAATTTCACCTTTTGGCCCCTGTTTATGAGAAAATAAACACAAGTTATCCATGCACTTAATAAATCTGCGTTGTGGTGGGCACCCTGTTTCTCCCTCTTATTATCCCTGAAAACAGATTTCTCTGCTCCGCAGAATGTTCATGGCTGTCTGAATTCGGAAATTTGGTAGATCTGGGAAGAGCTTTGAAAGGAAATAATACTTACTGGTTCTCCAGGCTTTCCATTTTCTCCAGCTGGTCCTGGTCCACCAGGCAATCCCTATAAGAAGGAACAGTATCATAAGGTAAGTCTAGGTTACATAGATAAAATATGCATTCTTCTATTTAGCAAAATGTTTTGACACAAAGATGTGGACCCTACTCATTCCCATCCTCTACAAAGGAGGAGTTACTTTGATAGTCAGCAGTTTAATATCCACAGAGCCAGCCGTCTGGTTTGCAATTACAAAATAGTGAGCAATACATTTTATCAACTGATTGATTTGTTTTACTTCAAAGTATGATTACATGTATGCTAATGAAAGTGGTTAGATGTCTTTTTTCTTTCTCTTTGGTTTTGTTAGTCTGTTAAAAAGAATCAGAAAGAAATTAACTACAAACACACAGTACCTGGAGGCCAGGAGAACCTGATGGCCCTGGTTCTCCTCTCTCCCCAGAAGGACCCTAGAATCAAAGAGAAGAGGAAAAAATGAAACTGTCTCAGAATATTTCAACAAAGAAACACCTCCACACTACCTCTACTCTATGTCTCCTTATCTTGAATTGGAGAAGATATTTCACAATTCTGAAGGCTAATATATCTCAGTGTTCTGGTATTTTCTCTTTTCACCCCAACCACCAAATGTAATTTAAGAGAAATATTTATCTCACTTAATATTTGTGTCACTTGACACTAGTCCAAAATTGCTAGCTCTGATAAACTTTGAAGGGAGCACTAATATGTCTCAATTAGAGAAGATGGTATATCCCTAACAGCTGTGAATTGACTTTTCATTTCAACTCACACCAGGTATACCTGCCTCAGGTTTTTCCCAACATGGGTTTCATGTATGGAAATAATGGGGAAGAAGAGATCTGGTATTTTTCTTCTTAAAAGGAAGTTTCTTTATATCATAAAAATATCCCTCCCCTCCCCCCCCCCTCCAAATTTACAGTCTCTTTCTGTAGGTTGCAGACCACCTTGGCAATAGCTGATAATTGACTCTTATGGGAGTCTAACACTTACAGGAGGTCCAGGAGGACCAGGGAGGCCAACGTCACCATTCTTTCCAGCAGGACCCTAAACAAAGGCAAAATTTGCTATGGTTATGAGTTGATATTTTTATATTAATTACTAATATTTTGGTGATTTTATAATATTTTTGTTATATTGTTAAAAAATCATGAATAAAACTTACAGGAGTTCCAGGTGGTCCACCAGGGCCTCTTTCTCCATTCTTACCAGGTAGACCCTTACAAAAGAATAAGATCACCTTTAAAATAGCTGTTCTGGTCAAAATACAATAATTCAAAGCTGTAGCACCAAATTCCTCCACTATGAAGCAATCATAACAGTTGATTGCTCAACCACAGGTGTGGAGAAATACCACTAACCTCATTTCCTTTAGGTCCGGGGAAACCCATTACACCTGGTTGACCACGTGGGCCTGGTGGGCCAGGTGGACCAGAACGGCCAGGTTCACCCTGGTTACCCTGGGATAAGCAGAAAAGAAATTAAGACATGGCATCTCTTAGGTGAAATAAATGCTTATCTGTGAGTCATTAAATAGTCAAGGTGAGATCAGGCTAGAGACGTTTAAACTCAAGACTTCACGCATTTTGAATTTCAACCAAGCTTCTATATAATTCAATATATTTGAAATATGGAGTATAAGATCTGCACAAAGCTATTACAATGAAACAGCACCTGAAGTGCTCTGGTAATTAAAACAAACAAACAAACAATAGACAATCAATACAAACAATAGTTTGTAATTAATCAATCAAACAAGCAATAGTACATACTGGAGGGCCGGGCTTCCCATCGCTTCCAGCACTTCCTGGAATTCCAGGCAAACCCTGCAATTGAAGGAAAAAAATGTTATTCTTCAGCTTAAAATGTGTAGCAATAAATAAGTTTTTAAAATATTTTCTTGCTTTTAACTTCTTTATTAAAATCCTCTAATTAAGGGAAAAATTGAAGAAATCTAACAAATAATTTTGCTAGGATTTAATCCCTTTCTCATAGATTTTCATGATCAAGCCATCAAACAACATGCACCAAAAATATATTATTTCATTATTTGAGAAAAAACTCATTTCAGAGAGTAAAAATTCAAAGAATGAAACAAGTTTCACTGTGCCCTATACTTAAAAGCAGCACAACTGATAATATATTTTTACTTATTTTGTTTTATATTTTAAAATGAGATTATTTATGTTATATTTTAAGTCATATTCATTTCCAATAAAATTTTAACTCCCAGAAGCCTGCATTCAAGCTCAAATTTCAGTGCATTTATTGCCATTGGTTTCTAATTCTTAGTACAGTTCACAGAATGTTATTATGTTCTGTGTGCGTTATACAATAAATTATCTCTGAAAGTCTTCTTGATTTATATCCTATGAAAATCTGACCAATCAGATTTATATTAATTTGCACTACTTGCAAATAAACTATATATGAAGCATTAAATATTTAAGTATATTAAAACATGCATATTAATGCATAATTTAAACATGTATTTAAATTTCAAATTTAGCTCTATTTAAATAAGTAAAACAATATCAAATGCAATAAACCAGCTATCTATTAAATGTTATAACAACTCATAATACACTTCAATATTCATTAAAACGTAAAAAGACAATACAGAAATTCATCTAATGCTAACTCACATTAAAGCCATAAGAATGCATGAGAGCTGTGGAGCATGTTCAACTTCATATAAATTTCATACATTCACTTCTGACAGATGTTTCTGAAAGCTCCACATTGCTGCATGGTTATCTATAGCACTATGAACGTATGTTCCAGATTCAAAGGAAGTAATGACATCACTAGAATTTGTTCTCTAATTGGACTTCTCTATTTTATCAGCTCAGATGAGGCATCTTTAATAGAATTTATCTTATTTTCTGTAGATATCTTGTCTTACTCTCATTCCTGGAAGACCAGGGCCTCCATCTTGTCCACGTTCTCCTGCAGGTCCACTTGGGCCAGGGGGACCTGGACTGCCACGTTCACCTGCAGGGCCCTAAAGAAAAAATATATATCATGAAGGCAATTGGAATCATATTGAATCTGAAATTGTCTATTCAAATTAACATGAATTCAATAGAAGTGTGGGATGGTTTTAGAGGAAGACTCATACCTTTTCGCCTGGAAGTCCATTGCTACCAGGTAAACCACGGAAACCAGGGGAGCCCTGTGAAATAAAAGAAACAAGTATGGATTTTAGGCAAAATAACTTGGGTAATGGGAAATATTTTCTCTAAACCATTTACCTTTAGACATTCAGAAAATTAACGAAAGAAATACATGGAAATGACATTTCACTGTGCTAAGAAAGTCTGAAGAAGAATCTTCTCAAGGACATAACCCTATTGATATAATAGGTAGTCCTTCATT